AGATGTAGGGGGAAAAACATTCGTTACCTAATTTATGTAATGACTGTTTAAAAAATGAGTTTAATTAGATTCATCATGAAAAAACTTAGCAAAAACAGTTTAGGGGATAGTTTGCTGAGAAAATTAACACAAAAGATCTGAAAAGGAACTCGAGTGTTGTTTATGAGAATATGTAAACGCGTAAATAGTTAATTTAATTCAATTTACACCATTTTCACTGCATTAATTTTTGCAGTGGGGAAGGACTAGAAAGGAACATACGAACTATTCGTCCTAGTCCACCCTCCCACCCATCCCACCCCAAAAGAGGACATCCATCACACAGTAATCTCGCGTGTGGAAAATTAACGTCTTCAATCCCAACCCTGAAGGAGACGGGACCTCCATTTATTCGTCCCTATCCGAAAAGACTAGAATATCTAACCATTTCTTGAAGTTATAAAAAGGAAGCAAATTCTTCTCAATTATTTTAAGACTCTGAGTGTTGCTCCGGCAGGCGGCTCGAACCCTCGACCTCCCGCACAACAGTCCAGCGCCCTATCCATTGAGCTAACCACTTTATTCTCACTCGCGTAAAAGCCGCCGCATGTCGAATTAGTAATCGGATAGCTATGTACACTCGTAGCAGAAATGCTATTGGCCGTAGAAGTCCCCAGGGAAATTATCAAGACCTTTTATGGCCGTTGCATGCAATATCTCTGACTGACGCCATAACAATGCTCTGACATCTCTGACGGTTTCTGCAAATTTCCCCAACCTCCTCTCCTTGAGCGGCGCTGGCCAATTCCTCTTTCAGCTCACCTTACGCCTTATGCAAAGATTCTTTCACCCATAACTTATCTATCATGAGGCATAGGGTGGCCTTTACGCGAGTGTGAATTCTTCACTATCGCTTTTCTGAAAAATTTATCTCTAGTAACCTGAGTTTGACAAATAAAGGAAAATGTTGTTTATTAACGTCTTATCGAGATGGGTAACTTTTTTTTTCTTCATTCTATTTTCATTGCTTATAAGATGTGCGTTATCATTATGATAACTAATAATTATGAATAAGTCTGGACCAAATCCATAGGAAATAACTAGTTTGAGTTTCGTGGAGATTTATAAAAAACGAGAATTATAGAACATTTGCCCAGCAACAATTGTGCATGTGCTGGTTTTTCTGGGCTCATATTTTTCGCTCACAAAATCTTCCTTTACGAAAACAACTTTTTTACAAAATTGAACTACAATCGATAGATTTTCAGCATCTCATTCATATCGTTGATGTTTAGGTCATTTTCTTTGTTACACTTTTGACCTGTTTGCTCCTCTTTTTCTCGATGTACTATTTTTTTCCAAGTAAATATATTATACCTTCCATTTCTTAAAAATATGCTATTGATCACATCGATCCTTTTAGATATCGATCGCATCAGCTTCTCTACCACGTGAATAATACACATGTTTTCGTGATGGAGTTCATAGGGAAAGAGACCACTTTCGTGAGAAAATAGCTTTCAGAGACAACTTCCACACCATAGGATGATGCTAAGAATAAAAATAAAAAACCGCAACAGAAGCACCAAAAACGTAACACCTTCTGTTTTGACCTATAATTTCCAATTCAAATCATTTGTAGTAAGCAATCTCTGAGATGGGGTAAGGGAATGATCACCACCACCCTAAAAGGGGTTTAATGCACTTGTTGTCACATGTGATTGCAGTACTTAAGAGAGGCCGCCAGAATATTTCGAGGATCGAAAATCAGTGACGAAAAATCGAACTTTTTTTTATTTTGCCAAAACATCCCTTTCTGAGAACTAGTTTCGAAAAAAATATTTTAAAGTTCCAGCGATTTTCTTACCAGCTGAAATTTAAAAAAGTTTGAAAATTCGTTAAAAAAGCCTAAACGGTCAAATCGTCACGCAACTTTAGAAAAATGTTGGCAGCGCCAAACAAGTCCATTCACCATCAAACCTTTCACAGTAGCTATAATATCACTGCACAGTAAAAGCATATAAAATTTTTCTTGTAATTCTCTCTGGTATGGGTTTTATTGCCGTTTTTATAAAGGTGTATTTTGCACGCCTTTTTAGCAGACAAAATGAAGGCTAAGTTTTACCGGTTTAAACGACACCTGGTACCAAAAATTTCGACATTACAACCATTTCAGAAGAGAGCTCATTTATCAAACTATACACCTGGAGAGTTTTGCCGTTGGAAATTAAGTCTCGTCTTGGTAGTTAAATAAAACGTGATGCCACCCAAGTGCCATGTAAGTGTGCAGAATTCGATGTTCATTTCAAGCTAATTATAGAGTCAGTTTGTCGAAAATACGCAGAAAAAATTAAATGACGTCTGCATCGTTATGTTTCTTCTGTGAAGCTGTGAATGTAAAGCAAAGTAGTTTTTAATCTTTTAGACTTTGTTAACTACGTTTTAAGTGCCAGCGTGTCTATTAACACATGTTAACACGGCTGATGGGATTTACTAACTTCAGAACATTTCGAAAACAATCACAGTGTTGGCTAAAACGCCGCTACTTACACTAAATTAATGATGTGCGGAGTTGCTTCTTACCAAATATACTAAAAAATCTTCGTGCTTAAATGAAGAAAAAGAAAGCTATTTGGATCATTCCCAGCATTCATGGTATACCGGTATAGACAACGTATGCAATTTATCAAGTTTATTGACCTGTGCGTGANTTGTGCGGAAGGTCGAAGTCGATGGTTCGAGACCCGGCCGGACCAACACTAAAGGTCTTAAAATAACTGAGGAGAATGCGCAACCTTTCTATAATGTCAAGAAATGGATAGACATTGTAGTCTTCTCGGATAAAGGCGAATAAACCGTACGTCCCGTCTCCTGCATCAATTAATTAGTCAATTGGGTTAGGCAGGGGACGTTAAAGAACACACACATGATATTACTGTGATGTGGTCTGGCCTGTTTACCGGGAATTGGGGGGAAGGGGGCATATTGAAATAAGTTTCCTTCGATTGTTTGTAAACTGCTGATGCAGTCCGCCCAAAATCCCCCGAAAAGTGTTGTGATGCGCATTTGATCATATCCATATGTTAATTTGAGCAATAAAAATATGTAATTATTATTATTATTATTATTATTATTAAAATTACATTTTTAAAGTAGGCTATTAAACTACTGCGGAATCCAGTGAAATAAACAATGACTTAAATTCCGATATGAATTGGTGAGTTGTAAGCGCTCAGTCATCTTGACTCTTTGCAAATTGTTCACAGTACGAAAGATAAAAATGTTCACTTCCAAAAAGTAAATATTCTTACCTACAGCCTGAAAAGAATGCTGGGCATTGGAAAGAAACCATGAGTAGACTACCAGGCACAACAGCTTCATGAAGCTGATTATAATTTCCAACCATCAGTGGTCCATTAATCAGAGATTCCCAACAGAAAATAATCAAGTGAACTACGAAATCGTCCTGGTGTCAAGGTTCTTCATAAAGTACTGCACTTTGATATCCGTATGGTCACAGCCGTGGTTGAAGATCGGTTGTTTTCGTTTTAGCTCTTGGGGTAAGCGTAATTCTGGTGGGTTTGAGCTCAATACTCTCCTGGAGAAAATTTTAGCTTCTATCTTTGATCACGAGCTTCTTTCACGTTGCATGTATTTGGTGTTCCGACCTTTGTTTCGATTTTGTCCGCTTTTTTAACTTGAAGAGTTCATTTTACTTTTGGTTGTTATTTGATAACAACGTAACTTTCCGTATTTTTCCTTTCACAAAATTGCATTTTTCATGGAAATTCCATCCAATGAATCCATCACTACTTTATGACTGTGCGTAAAAGTTGCAATTTATACCCAATTATAGGTGGCATTTTTTACAATGAAATTCTTTATGAATACCACCCCTAAGGAAAGTAACAAAAGGCCCTCCAGCTCAAAGAGGTTCGAAAGCACCATTGCTGGTGAAAAATTTTGGTCTCACTGCGCGCGGGGTTATTTTATTTAAAAAAAAAAAGTATTACAATTGTTCTTTGAACTTTTCACTTTTCATACTTCTGTTATTCGTGCATTTTAAGCGGAGCTTTTAGAACAAGGAATATTCTTGTTGTGTGTGCACTTCACGCGGAGCTTCTAGAACTACAAATACACTTCGAGCGATGCTTATAGGACAAATGCACTTGCCATTTGTGCCCTTCTAGCACTGCGTTTTAGTAGAACGAGAAATAAACTTGTTCGTGCATTTCGACTGGTGCTTTTATTAGTATATCAAACTAAAATTTTGTCATATGTGCACTTCATCCTGCAGCTCTCACTTTTAGAACGACGAATACTCCTGTTGTTTGTGCTTTTTTCGTGGCGCCTTTAGTAGTACGAGATTCTTCTTGTTTACATATGATGCACGATCCCTTGCAGTAGATAGCGCTATTTATGCGATAGCGAAAATCAGACCTGATAAAAATCTGGCCTGTACGGGATTCTTCTTGTTAGTCCACTTCGCGTGGTGCTTTTCGAACAAGGAAAACTCTTGTTGCTTGTGTACTTCGCGCGGTACTTAACCCAAGAGGAATACTTTTTGTTATTTGTGCACTTTGTGCGGGATCCATTCAAATCGGGTACAAGTCAACATACTAAGTCATGGCCAGAGACACTCCAAGTGAGAGTCCCGGAGATTTGAAAAACTTTACGACTCATTAATACATTGGACGATCCTCACGAGTCGTAAGACTCATGAATACATCGAACGATCAGTATGGATTGTACGGACGATGAGTATATCAGACGATAGGTACGGGTCGTACGACTCATGAGACAACCCATATGGGTCGTACGACTCGTGAATATATCCCAGGATCCGATACCAGCCGTGGTACTGGACATACATGGGGAAAATAAACTCGTGGCTCAATAGAGCGGCTGCAATAGTCATCACGCCTTTAAGGTTATTCATTGAGCATGTATTTATCGGAGGTTATTTAACAACATTTATTTATGAACAACTTAAAAGAAAATAGATAATTAGTCTGAGAACATTTAAATCTATAACGTTAATAAAAAAATTATAGTTTGCTTCTCTAATATAGTTAAAAAACACATACCAAAAACCCTAAGAATTCGCACAAAAATATGTGAAAGCTGTACTTTGCCCTAGTTCGCTATTAAGCGTATTTTTTTATACTTTCTTAATTAAAACAGAATGAATGGTTAACGTCAAATCCAAAATAGTATAGATTTATCACTCCTTCCACTGCTTCATGAAAATTCAAATGATTGCATGACAAGATCGTCAGCATTAACATAGAGTCGATCATCGTAATTGTCCAAATTTATCAGCCCCTAATTAAAAAGGAAAAAAAAAAATCAGTAATGTACTTGAATTATTGTATAGTTGCTCTTGTAAGCTTGCAATAGAGCCACTTGTTGAAATTACTTTTAATCCACGTAGAAAGCAAGTTGGTGGCGGAATTATATTCGAAAATTGTCGAAGTAAAGTGAAAAATTAAATGTTCCAGGCCTCCATACAAACGCCATTGTCAAGTGCATTTTACAGCGGTATGTTGAAAAGTTTACTTTGAATTGAAAGAGGTAAGGAACGTTACAGGTGCCGCTGTTGACGAACTCAACTGATCGTTCAAAGGAACTTAGTTTTACTACTTAAATACGACTTCGTATTTATTTCGGATATTCGCTAAGGGATTCGGAGAATTTCATGAAATGCACAATCAATTCCCTTTCCGTGTCTTCTGATCAGGCTTTGGAACTTGTGCTGAATAAATGTGTGAAATTCTCATCTGTCATTTTTACCTCAGAATTCAGTAAAAATAGCTTTGAAACTCCGGTAACTTGAGATTAATGATATTCCACTGAGAATCTTTGTTTGTGCGAGATCAAAATTCGAACGATCAGGGGTTAAAAGCCTCTTGGTGAAGCTTACGATTCTACCTTGTGCTGGTCTTCCATTTCTTTCAGTTCGTTTCTCAAACTCTCAAATGATGGTCTCAATTCAGGGTCATCTTCCCAACAGTTTGTCATGATGTCATACCTAAAACACAAAGACGTCAGGAATATCTCAGCGCTTTCTTAGTAGCACCAGTTACGGCGTCCTAAGGCTCAAGATGTTGCCATTTTCTAAATGAACAATAACAACGTTTGGTCTTTTTCTTTTTAATTACAAGAAACAAAATCGAGTTAATTGACTTATTCCAATATTTCCTGTAGGAAAACCTGCTCAACATGTAAAACGAGTTTAATTTTAACTAAAAAAGAAAAGTACTAAACCCTTAATACAAAAAAAAGAGAAACTATTTCACGAGAAAAGGCGTCGTAAGAAAAAAAAAAACAAAAAAACAAGAACAACACAACTGTTTCATACAACTTATCATCCACGTGTTGTGGTTTAGGCATTCTGTATCCCGAATTCAGCAACGTTAAAATCTGTCTTCCATCCATCTCTGGATATGGTGAGCCACCTGAAATAAAAGAAGTTACCCTTGATACAATTATCTTAATCTTTATTTACAAATTTTATAAATATATTTTTACTCTATAATTCCTGCACCATTGTTAATTTTTTCCCAGCTCAGCCTGCCGACTTCTTAAAGTGTTAACACAAATCTTAAGGCTAAAATTAATGGCCTGCCTATCAGCTTTGTAACTTACCAATCGTGACAATCTCATAGAGGAGAACTCCGTAGCTCCACCTGTAAAACAAACGGAATAAACTTGGGGAAATGATTGTTCTTGTTTGTGAAAAAAATGAACATCTTCGATAAAACCTCTGAAGAAGGTCACTATACTCGTCATACAAGCCGATCCTGGGCCAGTAATCATAAATTAAAGCCAGAAAGTGCATTACCACTCCCTCTGAGAGATGCCCCACAATAAGATATAATGACCACATTACAGAGTGAATCCAATAACTTTTCCCACACCCGAAAACATTTTTTTGGAGGCAATTTTTATTAAACCCCCCAAAAAATATGTTTATGTATTCTTTGTACTCACACGTCACTTTTTGTGGAATATTTTCCGTGCAGCAGCGCCTCAAAAGCAGTCCATTTTAAGGGGATACGTCCCTAAATGAAAAACAATTTGAATTGATTGGCAAGAGTTATGAAAGAGTCAATATGAAAGTCATAACTTTTCTTGTATCATCTTATCACCAATTTTTACCTTGGTTGAATAATACTAGCGGTGATATGATATGTTGAAGAGCAACCAACAGAGTCAATAAAGACCCTCATACAAATTAGCTAATTTGCGCTCAGACTTATGGTACCTTTGACCTCATTTGATAAATGTTGTCCTCTTGAACATCTCTGGCCATACCAAAGTCTGTTACTTTACACGTTTCCCCTTCTCCAACCAATACATTACGAGCTGCAATGTCTCGATGGATAATCTACGACAGATCAACACAAATCACGAAACCAGTTTAGGGAGTCCAAAAGAATCGAACGAAGATACTAAAAAGTTATGATCAATGTAACAGTTCACTAAATATGGCGCTCTTGCTTACTGGTATCGATGACAAATATGACATTCCATCGGCAACTTGCCACGCATATTTCATCAGCTGCTTTGAAGTCAGATTTGTTTTTGGTTTGATATCCGGGTCTTGGAAGTAAGTGTCCTTCAGCCCACGGCTCTTTCTCAGGTATCCCAGTAGATCTCCATAGGGAACATATTCAATTAACACCATCAATGGTCCTGTAAACCATGGGAAGCGTGAAAATATACAACGTATGTTAAATTCTTAGGGAGAAAGAGATCGGCCTAACAATAACTGTTTGGGCAATTAAAGTATACTTTTCCATTTTTACCAGATCTCGTGACACACCCCAGAAGTTTAATGACATGAGGATGGGCATCGAGTTCCTTCATCAATTGAAGTTCAGACAACAATTCTTTCCTGTCCAATTCGGAGGCGTGCTCTGAAAGACCAAGCAATAGCAGTAACTGAAGCGAAATAAGTGGCATATTTCCTATCTGACTCTGAGCTCTGTGTTGCTCAGTCATGGACCATCCTACTCAAAATCATGTTGTCATGAAATAATAATAAGGTTATGAAATACGCTATACGAATTTCATTCGGAAAAAGCAGTCTTTGAAGTTTGCTACTTTTAAGTAGGTGGGAGGTAGAAGATTTGATGTCAGAAAGAATTTAAATTTCTACTTACATACGTTTTGTGTCAGTAAGTTCTTGTAGAAAGAAGGGTAGATTTTTTTAATGGTTTGGAAAGGGAGCCTTACCAGCTGATAACGAACGCTCCAGTTTCATGCTTATTACACGCGAGACGCTTGTCACGTCTCGATTACAGGTCTAGTCAAATTATTCATGGTTTAGTTATATCTAGTTTCAGAGCGTCTTATTGTCAACTTACTTAGGTCACGAAGATATCTGCTGGAGGTTACGTCTTCTTTTTTTTTGGCGAGAATGTTACTTCCGAGTTTCACACAAACGCGTGTACTTTTATCATTTATTTCATACCTTTCAACATCTTAACAGCCACGAGTGTCGTCCTTGGTCTTCCCTGGAGGCCTCTGACTTCTGCCTTAGCAACCTGACCAAAAGCCCCTTTACCAATGACCTTTTCTAGAGTCACGAGCTCTATAGGAATCTCCCAACAGCGTGGCGGTGAATAAAAAGAGGAGTAGTCATCTACTGGTTCGGAAGGTTGTAGAAGGCTCGCCTGCTCTGCATTTGTAATGGGGGATGACCTATTCCGCTCATCCAAAGCCATGCACTGCTGGCTTTGGGAAGGCTCCGTCATTTCAAGCCAAGTCTATAAACATAATCATTTACTTAGACTACACTGGAAAGTCTCTCAAATCCTCCATTTTTATTATTCCGTTTTTCACGTATACAATTTCGTGCGAATGTATCTAGTATATAATATCATCTAGGTAGTCTATTTTCCTTTTGTACATGTTGCGCAAATTCATAACCACCTATGGCAATATTGATCATTTACTTTTGTTTTGTGAATTTATTACTGAAAAGGAAGCTGAAGTGAGCTGAGTTAAAAAGAAAAAAAAAATGTGCCAGTTCGTATTAAACTTTCAATTTGTTCAGCTGTTTCCTGGCGCAACCTGTTCACTTTGGGGCAGTACTTGTAATTGGAACTATGAGGCGAATTATATATTCATGTTATTCACCAGCCTGAGTCGTTAAGTTTTGGGAAGAGCATAAGTCAGAGGGCACAGTTTTCCTACGAACCGATATTACGGCAAGTTCTTCCATAAACAGATAAATCTCTCCGCGAGTCGAAAATAAAACAAACCGAGGCTATTGAATTAAAAAAAAATAAAGGCTTCATCACAAAATCTCCATTTGCGTACATGACAACGGTGACTTAAAAAGACTTCCATGCAAACTTTGAAAAAATTTTTCTGCCGAAATTTGATACCTGTCAATTAGAGACGGCCTAGAAAAATCAATGAATGTATGCCAACTTCTGAATGAACAACAGGACTAGTTTTGCAAACATACTCGAGTTGAATGACTATTTTTTACTGTTATTGTGCCCTTGGGCAGAGATGAAAAATCTGGACCGCAATGAAAACCAATCAGATTTCAGGATGCGTTGCCGTGCCCTCCTGGGGAAAAAGGATGTACGGTGTTCCACCACAATAAGGTCAATTGTTAAAATCTTCAAGTGACTTACATCAACAAGTCCAATTTCTGCTGTTGTTTCTCTGTTTGTCCTAAAAGTAAATAAGGAATATCATATTTTTTTTTGTCAAATTCGAATTCAATTGGACGAAAAAAGGTGGACGATTTGTTCCGATGGAAAAGCTCGCCTCTTAGCACTCCATAGCTATAGTCATTAAACGGATACAATGAAATATATGAAGTTCCCATATTTTGAACTGCGGTATTAGATACATATGATACACGATTCTCGCAGTAGATAGCGCTATTTAAGCAATAGCGAAAATCAGACCTGAAAAAAATCAGGCCTGTACGGGACTCGAACCACTGACCCCTGCGATACTAGTGCAGCGCTCTACCAATTGAGCTAACAAGCCAGCTGGGAGCAGGCAGTTGAGCAGACACCGCTGTGTTGGCTCAAAGAAAGTCATGATAAGGTTTCATAAACATTATGGCTAAGCATATTTTACTTAGCATCAGGCGGACTAGCTCTAGAAAATAATAATTACATCTGGATAGCCCACACGAGTGGGCTATCCAGATGTAATTATCTCGCGAGTGGTTCAAAATTCATCACGTTAAAGGATGCCTTAGAAAATTGACTTGAGATGAGCTATTGCCCCGGGCGTAACTATTATAATCCACCTTTATATCTAACAAACAAATTAACAGCTGTACAGAGTTTGCAACAGGTAACAAAACAAAAAATTAAATAGGTCGATTGTTTATCGTTCTAAAAATCTCACCTTTCTCTTTTTCCTGTTCCCAAGACGTGAAGAAAAATGAAGTATGAAAAACGTATCATGAGAAAGAAGGAAAGAAAGAAAACCCAGTGCGAAAAGTATATAGAGAGAAAGTCAGAGATTAATTCAAAGGCAATACAAAATAATGTCCTCTGGTATTTCTTTTTAGGCATGGATAATTTGATTTAAAAGTGATGAGCAACAAGTCTAGTGCAATGACTGAGATCATAAAATTATAGAAACACGATGATCAAACGAGGACATACAACCACAGTTGTGAATTTTTTGACGTGTGCGTATTTTGTAAACGCAACAAATGGAGGGCATTCTCTGTGTTCACCTAGCCTGACCTACACCTTTTGGTATTCACGCGTGGTACACATAATTTCACAAATCAACCAATCTCTTCTACAGACTAAATGTTGACATTTAAAATTGGCGTGGACACTTCGGCGTACTCTTGTTGTTCTCCGCGATTGACTTCAAATGTTTTTTTCTTGAATTTTATTTCATCGTGCGTTTGTCAAATTTCATTGTGAATTTCTTACAAGTTTCGAGTCTGCATTTCAAGTTAAGTTAGACACTGATATGTATTTTTTTTTCTTAAAAAAGGGATGTGTTAGAACATAGTTAGTAGATGGGACGAAATCTTCAAAGTTACCTTGTTTTTAAATGAGACTTAAAAAAGAAAACAAACAAGCTAACAAACAAAAACAACGCGACTTTTCCTTCGGGGTCAAAGTTGGCACTATACAACTCTTACCATTTGAGTTCTTGCTGTTACGCTTTCTTAACTTGCATACGAAAAAGAGAAGTATCCCAGCACCAACAACCGCTGTAGCAGTTGATCCAATCACTGCACCATAAAAAATCCCTGTGACTCCTTGAAAGCAAGAGCAACATATGAAATACATGTTGACAACCTCCACTCAGTCATGACACCCTATTCTACGCGTACAACTTTTAATTTAATTCCCGACAAATTACTTAACAGCCTATTTAAATGCAGTGTTGATACCTTCAGGAAGAATTCCAACTAAATTATGAGAAATAAATGACAGGTATTTCACCAGTACCCTACCCTTACCTACTTTTTAAGATATTTAAGAGCGTGTCCACGAAGAAAACCTCGAAATGATCCTCTTCAGGTATTAGATCTTTTATAACTTGGTAATGATTAGGACGAGACCATTATGAATAGCTAACATACCTTCACAATCTGTCACATTAGATGGTCGGTAATAACTTTCATTACATAGGTACATGCAACCAGTTCTGTCAGTATTTGAGGCTGAATTTGAAGGAGAAGGTATACATTTTTCATTAGCAATAGAATCCTTGTAGAAACCTTTCTAACGCTCTAAAAATGAAGCATCGCGCAATTTCATCAACATGTGTTTTCTTTGGAACACATGAATGCAATGACCATGTAGCGTGCTATTAAAAACAAAACTGCTGCTGCCATGCAAATGAAAAGCTAAGTCTCCTTATGGACTTTGGTAATGATTGCTCCTCTTTTAAGGAACCCAGGAGCAGGCTAGCAGCCCCCACCACTCCCTCCCACCCCACCTCCACTTCTTCCTCCTCCACCTCGAAACATTAATTTCTAGTGGTAAAGTAGAAGAGGAAATCTAGTAAGGTTTGAGCTTTAGAGGGGAGAATAGAAAGATATCCTTTGTCTTAACTACTAAAAAAATATTTTCGTATTTATGAGAAGGGTTCGGCCTGAGGATTTTGGAATGGTTTTTCGCTCGAAAATCATCTGAGACACGTAAAACGGTTATTTTAAAGCTGAGCGGTTACTAGCCTCTGCCGCAGGCAAACGTTCTCTCTCTTTCTCACCGAGCGCGAAGGGCGAGAGGAGTGGACCGAGCGCGAAGCGCGAGGGGGTCTGAGGCGAGCGCAAAGCACGAAGAGCAATTTGTTTGCCTGCCAAACATCCACGGTTTGTGACCAGCCGTGTCACCTTACAAGACCAGCTGCGGGACCCAGGTAGTCTGAGAAGGCTTTTGTTTGACAGTACGACACTCTATACCCCGACGAGGATCACCACGAATATTACCACTAAAGATGGCGGACTGTAAGAAAACGTGTCACAAGAGGATTGGGATTCCGGTGTGCAGTTTTGAGTACAGAAAGCTTTTGAAAAGCGTAAAAGACAAACAAACAGAAATCGAGGCAAGAGAAGCAAAATTATTGTGCTTAAAGAAGCAGTTGGAAGAGCTGAGCCTAACAAAACTGATTTGGAAAAAAACATTCAACAACACGTGAAGCTACAAACGATACTTCTACTCAAAGTGATGATCGTTTAAAAGGATATGCTTTTGGGACAACAGGAAAACAGAAACTGTAACTCCTGGTGGAACTACTAGGAAAGGTCATTGACTTTCCGCCACCAGTTCCAACTATAGTCAAAACAATTTCACCATTCATGGTAGCATTTATTGTCTCTCTTTGTAGTGGACAGAATTCAGTGAAACCGAAAAAATGTTGTATGTAGCGTACCTTCTACGAGTCGTTGACTTTCCTGATTTTCAACAGTAAACGTAAATTCTTTCTTCCGCGTCAGTCGTATTTACCTCGATATTCTATACTCTTTCTCTCCATGAATTTCAATTCGGGCTTTCCACGTTGTTCGATTTCAACGTTGTAGACACATCTGCATTTGTTTTCATTTTCGAATCGGCCTCAAATTCAAAATTATTCTCACCGTTGCTAGTTTCTGCTATCAAAGAAAACTTCACTGCGGTCTCATAGCAAGAACTTGCTTTCACGTTCTCAATTAATTTTCCTTTAAAGCTTATGTTGTAGTCTGAAATGTTCGCGGGGTCTTTGGGGGGAATCCGTGAAAGAACTTCAGAATACGAACCATGGAAAGACGCCGCCATTCTGCATGGGTTAAAATTTCTCCCCTGTATAGCCTCCTCATTCAAAAATTGTAAGCCTATAGATACTATCCCTCCCACGCTATGTATCACTTGTCGATGCGTAGTAGTGACATCATAAGATGCGTAGTGCATGTCCGAACCCTACATATTTGGCAGGCAACTCTCGCGCTCCCCGCTCGGTCCATATTCTTATTATCCGGGATATCGATACTTTTTCTCACTAACCGAACAAATACTAGAACGGCAGTAGCTTTTGTCAATATTTTAAAGGAAAAAAATTAAAACGGGTATTATCAATCAGAGCACAAGTAAGTCGCTACTTTGAAAGAGGTCTGTTGACGACGTTTTCTGTCTGTAGAACAGAAAAAAAGGCCAATTTGTAAAACAGGTAAACAGCTACATTCTGTCAAGAGATTATGTCCTCTTGATTCTGTACATTGTACCACAATACAATCACTATTCCAGGCTGAGATATCAGACTCAGCAATTATCTTTCTGGACACAAAAGTGCAACCCTTAACGTCCAAAGGCATTACAAAGAGACAAAGACCTTTGAATACATGTCACTCGCCAGGCAGAAAGAACGATCCGTAAAAGGAGAAGCGCTACGCCTTCTATAAATAGAAGACGTAGACCTCGTGACCAATCTATGACGTGTGAGACTAAAAAAGGTCTATCAAAGCACGAAAAATCCAAATGTGCATATGAGTCAGAATATTCGTGTCACTCGCGAGTCAGAGCATTCGTGTCACTCATCAAGCAGAAAGAAGGATTCGTAAAGAAGAAGCACTATAAATAGAAGGTGTAGACCACGTGAAATTAAAAAAAGGAGGCGCTACGTCTTCTATAAATAGAAGGCGTAGACCACGTGAAACGAAAAGGGTCTATCGAAACATGACCAGTCAAAATGTTACTACGGGTCTGAACAAGACGTAGTCGTGAAAGGTAACGCAACACCATACGAATAGACGGGTAGAACCTTGCATAAGTGTACATGTAAGACGTAAGATGAATGGAGATGGACGTGATCAAGTCATGCAAAGAGCCTATTATTTGCGAGGACAGCATGTTTATGGTGATGTTACAAGCCATAAAAGAAACATCCGCCCGCGTGTTCGTATCCAGAACGTGATAACTACCCTCGTCTTTCGGTCATAAATGAAGAGAAGAAATGTAACCGCCTTATAAGACATTTCTACCTTTTAAATTTAACAGAGCTTAGTTAACGCTTAAAAAATGTGGTACGGCAGAAGCAAGACTCTGATTCAGACGCCGGACTAGAGTTGCATCGAAGCCAAGTAATACTTTATTCGCGCAATTCCCCGCGGGAGTACAACTCTGGAAAATACAAAATCATATTTGAGATACTTTGTTTGGTTCTGCAGAGGTACGACGTTGAGATCGCTTTCGTACGAGAGTCATGTAGCGCGGCAGGCCTTGTTAAATTTTAAATATTTAAATATTTTTAAAGGAACATTTTAAAGTTTAATTCAGATGCTGTGCTTCCAGTCGTCTAACGCTAACTCTTACCTGATTCTGCTGAAACTCCGCGTAAAATAGCGTCTACGGCTAGCCAAAGAACTATGGTTGTTTGGAATAAATTCATTATCAAAGGATTTAACCGGTAACTAACTCCATGAGACATATATATTGCTATCCACAGCACTTCCCTTTTGTTCTTCAGCTTCTTATATAACATTAAAAGATGACAATTGCGCAAGGTCAGAAGACCAACATGCTCAAATCTAGGCAACACACACGAAAAAGGTCAGACCATTGGCACAGACTAGCGGGACGGGGGGAAAATAGGTATAAATTTAGTTTTTCCCTTCCAGGTTGTTTTTTTTCCCTGTATGCGGTTTATCTGAGACTGGGTGGGGCTAGGTGACGTGTGCCCTCTGAAGGCGTTGCATCATGGTCGTAAAAGAAAAGTAAGTCTTTTGCATCCTGCCGCAGTTGAGTGAATATGTTTTTTTGGCGGCGAGAATAGCATGAATATGTGGAGATTTACTGTCTATTCTCGTTTCTTCGAAAGCAAAAATTAGTATTGACGGCCTTTCCTCCGTCAACGAATTAGTTCTTAGGAGGCAACTAACAAGATTCAGAAAGTTACACTCGCAGCCGAAGGCTGTATTTTAGGAAAAAAGAAAAAGAAAAAACATTCCTAGATGGACTATTATTCTCTGGAAATCGACCCTTGACGTGCACACGCATATACCGTATAACCAAGCGACAGAGAACTTCCTGTACATGATTTTTTATTTGTTTCATTTATTAGATAAACAGTTCGTAAGAAGAGTTGCTAAAAGACAAAATTGGCATTTAGCTAGAATTCTTATAAGGTTTGTTTTCAAACTTACTTGAGAATATGAATGAAAATAACATGTATCAACAAAAGCCATTCAGTTAAAAAATATTGTAAGCACCTGGTAGTTTTCTATTTGCAAGTAGAGTAATTGTTATCTTTCCCTTCTGAGAGAAGATAGTTCATCTAACTGTAAAAAAGTTTAGTTCATCTAATTGTACAAAAGTTTGTATTTAGCTGTTAGTTTATGGATTCTTATCCTATCGGGAGTTTGACAAGAAAGCCGATGATCAGCTCTACGGCGATTTAAACTTGGCATGAGGTATTTTTAATTAATACATTGCGGTAAAATATATTTGAATCAAGATAATCACCTTAATGAATGAGGGAGTAATTTGATTTGGAAAAAGTTAGTCTCGGACCAGTATTAATTACGAGAAATGCCTACTTCCTGTACTTTCGATTTCTCTCAGATTCAATGCATTTTTTTTTTAAGTACACTTCATGTCAAACTCACGATCCAGAAAGTACTCCCAAAATTTTGATTTATCACTTTCATAATCTTGTCAGTTTTATTATACCAGAAATAAACTGGAAATGCTGGAAGTAAGGCTGAAAATCATTTTCTAACAGCGTAAACAACTTGAAGGTACATAAAACTGTTCTACGTAACTTAACGTGATTCGCTAGTTATAGAAACGATGACGATGCTTGACGATTTACAGCTTAGTAAGTGTCACCTTTATAAGCTAGTGAGCAGCATTTTCACTCAGAGCAGAGCTAGTCCCGATAGCAGTGAATTGTATTAAGAGATCAAAGCAAGGAATAAAGAATCATCAACTGTACAAGAATGTCAGAAAATCTTCTTGAAAAAGCAATGGAGATTTACTATTCCCGTTTCTTTGAAAGTTAAAAAAAAAGTATTAATGGCCATTCCTCCGTGGTGAATTAGTTCTTAGGAGACAACTGACGAGATTCAGAAAGCCATACTTGCAGCCGAAGACTTTATAAAAATCAAGGTCAGAAAAAACATTCCCAGACACAAGATTATCTTCTGGTAATTGGCCCTTGACATGCAAACGCATAACCAAGTGATAGAGAGCGTTGGGCTTCTTAAGAACGAATTTGTCACGCTTCGTGTTTAACAAAAAAAGCGCACAGAGTTTCAAGATACGCTTAAAGAATAGGGGACACCCAGTTGACGGTTTTGAGAAATATATCTTTTGAGTTATTTTCAGTTGGAGAGAAAGTTTAACTAAAGGAGAGAAAATAGCATACAGAAGAAGATTTTATCTTTTCACACATAATATTAGGCTTTGCCTAACCTCAAGAAAATTCGGATGGAAGATGACACCAAAAACGCATTTTCGAACCGAGGCAATTCTTTATCCCGCCAGAGAGTGAATAGCCAATTATAACATGTCCACATAAATGACTCCCGTAGGGTTTCTTGCGGCAAAACATCTTAGTCCTTGAGTTTCAATCGCGAAAACATCTCCTAATTTGGGTTGCACGTCACGGTAGAGATCTTTGCTATCTATCTGCGTTGAAAACTAGAATGTAAATGGAGAAAGATAAAAAGGAAACGAGTCCAATGGTGAAAATAAAAAGAAGCTTGGTTGTCTACACTAAAAATAAAGAAATTCGTCGCGGAATGGCGAAAGAATCTCTCCAAAACTGATATTATGAAGGCGTCTGGTTTAAGCTATCTTCGCTACTCGCACTCAATTAGCAACCGTTCAATTATACCGTGGCGTGCTTAAACCGCTCTAAGTTGAAAAAAAAAAAAGAGTTTCGTCAAAATTGCCGTTCAGAAGAATTGAACAAAAGGTCTGTAACGAATAACTGAAAAATAGTTATCCGCAAAATATGTTTTTGTTGAGAGTCTCCTGAGACTCTCCAGGACGCTTCTGTGTTTGTATTGGCGGTCGGCATTTCGAGTTTTTCAGAGTGATGACATAACTCGACATGTAGCCACCTAAAGGCGTGAATTGTTGGGAAACTTCTGGAAGCAAAAGTAAAATCTACTTCGCTTTTATGCGAATGTACCTTTTTAGAACGACTTAATCGGGTAGGTAAATTTAACGGATTGCCTTGAAATTTGGTCCGAAGACTCCCAAGATACCGACGTAAAAACCGTTAGGGGGAATTTCGTTTTTAAAAACGAATTGCCGGATTGATCGCAATGGCCTCCGACGTAATACTTATCAGAGAAATTTTGGTCAGCAAACTTGACTGATAGATCGCGAAGCAATGAATAAGAGTATCGAAAAAATTCCCATACGGTTTTAAAGCCCAACCCCTCAGAATTAAAATTGTGCAGAAGTTTTATTTAATTTTTCCGGTCAGATTGTATGTCAGATTAATTCGCTCAAAGAAACATCGTCCATTTCGTATTGTTTCACCCCATTTGGTTTAGAATAAGATAAATAAGATGGATTTTTTAAGAAAGAAATAAGTTTTGCGGAATAATGCATTTCATATCCTTTCCATTTATGGTGGTTATGCTTGAAATAGCGCATTGAAAACCTTTTTACGCGAGGAACATCTGCGAAGGGCTACCGTATCCGGGAGCCATCCCTGTAGCCGCACCACATAAAAATAGAATTGAAAGACGTCCTGTTCAGAGCTAAGCTTTGAAGGAACAAGATTGAAAATTTGCCAGCAAAAGGCGGGAGTTTCGCAAGCACACCAACACTGCTTTTTGCCTTTCCGGTCGCAACAGGCGCTTTTCCTTTCACAACACAGACTTTTGATAGATCAGTGACCCCTTTCATGGCTCTACTTCAACCTTCCTTTTAATATTCAACTTTTATTTAGAAAAGTAGATTTGGATGATAACTGAAGTAATAGGAAATGTCCTTAAAATTGTAAACATATGTAACGCAGTACTCTACAGACAACATTAGGCCTTTTGGCCGCCGTAACTGTTCTCAAACAGGCGGTATGCGTACTCTGATTACGTTGTATCGTGTTCGTAAAACAAAAAGTGAGTCAATTGCATCCTGTCGAGGTCGATTGAACATCTTTGGGGGCATCAAGATCGCGTGAATATACTCGGAATGCACAGGGAACTCACTGTATGTTGCCATTCCGTCGAGGGTTAGAATGTTTTGACGGGCTGACTGTCATTCCTTTATGACGAATTCGTGTTTAACAGGCAATCTACATGATTCAGAAAGAATCAAAACTGCAGTCTTTCCTAAGAATCTCGACACAAATAGCAACAGTTACACTCAGAACCAATGGCGCGAAGAATGATATCAAAGTCAGAAACTACATTCCTGAGTGCAAGCCATGTAACAAGGAATAGACCTTTGTAATGCAAACGCATTATAAAGAGACTGAGACCTAATATTTTTTTTCCCACCAAGCGTGCATACAGCGGGATTCGTAAAAGGAGAAGCCCTAGGCCTCCTGAGAACGAATTTGTCTCCCTCCACTTTTACAGTGCCCTAATCTCTATAGCACCATGAGCCTACGGATATGGCGCTATAAAAGTCCATATTATTATTGTCACTATTATTACTATTATAACAAAAACGTACAGAGTGGTAGAATAAGCTTCAAGAATAGAGCATACCTAGATGACCTAGATAAAGGTTTTGAGTGACGTATCTCGAGCTGGAGTTATTTCTGCAAGAGAGGAAGTATACTTAAAAACAAACAACAATAACAGCAACAACAAAAGCGAAGAAAATAGCGCCCGCACCGAAGAAGATATTGCCTATTGTAATCTCATCTGGCTTTGCCAAACATCAAAGGCATACGGTTGAGGAAGTGATATCATAATACTTACCCTTATTAAGTTAAGGAAGCATGAAGCGTGAAGATTATATTTTGGAAATTCTTTCCTTAATCAGTTGGATTCAGTTTGAATTGATTGTTCGTTTCCTGTTATTGGATCGTGTCAGTGACCCAG